GTGGCATTGGTCATAACGTACGAACCTGTCAGAATGCTACTGGAGGGTCTAAATAATCCATTTCTAATGTAATTATCGTAGTTGTTTCATTTCGTGGTGGTTAATTGAACATCTTGCGCGTGCTGTGGTGAAAAGTGGTCCACTCGCTGATATGGTCCACTCGCTGATAACGCACGTTACTAGAAATATCTAAATTATAGAGCTATAGCGCTATTAATAAAATAAGATCGTTACTTTAAAGTTTAAGTACTATCGATTTTAGTTTAACGGTATAATTATAGTAATTCTAGATTCTTATAGTATCTATTAGTTATAATTATAATATCGCTCATTAAGGGTATTAAAGTCGCGTCTATCTTATCGGCTAGAATATATTCTTAATAATAATATATAAAACTCTATATTATTAATAGCCTAGACTTAAATAAATCTATAAGTAAATAGTAAAATAGACTTAATCTAATCTAGACTTACTTACTTATTAAAGAATATAACTATCTTAAACTTTCTTTATAGCCTAAATACTTTTTTACCTTATCGAATTTACTCTAGACTTATCCTTTATTATATTACTCCCTATCGGCTTATTTATATAGTTACTACCCTTAGCGAAAGAATAATAAATCTTTCCTAAATAGGTTAGAACTAATAGAAATTACTAAAAAAGAGGATTATAAGGATATTACTAAAGTTATTAATATTACCTTAAAGTAACCCGAGTTATTAATTAATTAAGAAAAGTATTTATAACTTAAGTATACTTACTTTATTAATAATAAGTATTTACTTCTTCTCTTAATTTACTTATAGTAAGCTATTTATATATCGTAAATTCGTCTTAACGATAGAGTAATTAAAAGAGTTAATGCCTAAGCTATATATAAAATAGATTATAATACCGTTAATTTACGCTATTATTATACTTAATATTACTATAAGAAGAAGCTAGTTTATAGCGCTATATTCTTAAAAGACTTCTATTAAGGCTTAGATTATCTAAGATTTCCCTATCTTACCCTTACCCCTAAGAAATATATATAGCTATTTAATAAGTATATTTCCTACTAACTAATTTATATAGCTATTAAGTAAATCTAACCTTTAATAAATAAGCTATAGAGCAATCCGCTACCGCTTATTAAGAGTTAGCCTCTTTATAACGCGATAGGTAATAGCTTAATATAATGTCGCTTAGTAGAATTCGATAGAGATATATAGTCTAGGACTTATATTTCCCTAGGCATTAGAAACTTCCTTAAGATTAACTATATCTTAGCTAAACTTATTAAGGACTTACCTTATTAAAGCTCTAATATCTTAGGATTATAGTCCTAACGCTATTCCTTATAGACCTTAAATAGCCTAACGTAATCCACCACCGAGTGCGCCACACCACCGAGTGAGCCACTTTCCACCGCAACGCGTCATTCTCCAACAAAATATTGAATTCCTCCACAACACATTATGACCTTGCCTTCATATGAAAGTAGGGTCCTTCTGGCTATCGAAGCTCTTCAAAAAGACCCAAAGCTAAGCCTTAGAGGTGCAGCAAAACTCTATGAGGTTGATCGAACGACAATTGCTCGGCGTCGGAGTGGCCAATCCGCACGACAAGATGCCTGGCCTAATTCAATGAATCTGACCAAATCAGAAGAGGAGGCCATTATTCAATACGTTATTGAACTAGTGACACGGTCATTTCCTCCCAGATTGCGTGGTGTTGAAGAAATGGCCAATCATCTTCTGCGCGTACGCGACGCGCCTCCTGTCGGCAAGAACTGGGCGTCCAAGTTTGTCAAGCGCCGGCCAGAGCTCCGGACGCGTTTTTCTCGTAAATATGACTACCAGAGGGCTAAATGCGAAGATGCAAAGCTTATCGGTGAGTGGTTTGCTCTCGTACGGAATACAAAGGCAAAATATGGGATCCTTGATGATGACACCTACAACTTCGACGAGACTGGCTTTATGATGGGCGTCATCTTCGCAGGCATGGTCGTCACAACATCTGACGGCCGTTCGAGAGCTAAATTAGCCCAACCTGGTAATCGGGAATGGTCGACTGTGATCCAGGCCGTCAGCGCACTCGGTTGGGCTATCCCGCCGTTCATCATCCTCGCCGCCCAACACCATCTCGCCAATTGGTATCAAGAGTGCGATCTTCCGGCCAACTGGCGCATCGCCACAACCGACAATGGCTGGACTACCAACGAGGTTGGTCTAGATTGGATCAAACACTTCGATCATCACACTGCGCCTTGTACGAAGGGCCCATATCGGCTGCTGATCCTCGACGGCCACGAAAGCCACCACTCAACCGAATTCGAGCTCTATTGCAAAGAGCATAACATCATCACGCTCTGCATGCCCTCACATTCCTCTCATCTCCTTCAACCGCTAGATGTTGGTTGCTTTGGACCACTCAAGCAAGCATATGGCCGCCAGATCGAAGACCTGATGCGAACGCATATCACACACATCACCAAACTCGAGTTCCTCTGCGCCTTCCGCGAGGCCTTCTTTTCTTCCATGACCGAGAAAAATATACAAGGAGGCTTCGCAGGGGCCGGTCTTGTGCCGTACGACCCTCGGAGGGTTCTGTCAAAGCTTGATGTACAGCTACGAACACCGACACCGCCGGTAACCCTCCCTGGGACCCCGCAAGCTTGGGTCCCAAAGACGCCGCAAAATGCGCGTGAGGCTACTTCGCAGTCAAAGCACATCAAGAATCGCATCTCCGCTCATCAAAACAGCTCTCCAACCTCCATGCTAGCCGCCGTAGACCAACTTGAAAAGGGGACAACAGTCATCATGCATCAGGTGGCACTTCTACGTGCTGAGGTCTCGACGCTTCGTAAGGCAAATGAGGCGTTAAGTAAGCGCCGAAGAGCCAAAAAAACACGCGTACGGCTTGGTGGATCTCTTACTGTGCAAGATGCACAGGATCTATTAGATCAGAAGGACCTAGATGAGCAGATCAAGACGGAAGAGCGCCAAAGTTATCGTCGTGGAGGAGGGGCTCGTACGAAGTTTCCACGCTGCAGTAAATGCGGCGGGACTGGCCATAACGTACGAACGTGCCAGAATGCTACGGAAGGGTCTAATGTATCAAACTAAATGTAATTATTGTAGGTACTTCATTTTATGGTGGTTTGGTTGAAGATTATATACGTGTTGCAGTAGAAAGTGGCTCACTCGGTGGTGTGGCGCACTCGGTGGTGGATTACGTTATTCTTTCTCCTTAAAAGCTATTTATTATTATACCTTAATTCCTTAGAGGTAGTCTTATTAAGGTATAGAAAGGTTATTAAAATATACCTTTATTATAGTAAAGATACTATCTAGATTAATAGATATATTATTATTATTTTTCTAGAAGGCGGAAATTTAAGATATTATTTATATTAATTATAGTAATCTTATCGTAACTTTATCTTATTTTATAGTAGTCTAGATAATATAAACTAAATAGTATAACTAGCTTATAAGCCTATCTTATCGAGTAAATATTTATATAGTCTCCTTTTATATATTAACGGTATAATTATTTCTATTAAGACCGTTAATATCGTTTTTAAGAGATATCCCCTATTACTTAATATTATATCTAGCGTTATCGGTAGAGCGATAGAGTAATTATATATTATTAGATAAATAACGTATTTAGTCGGGAAGGCGCGTTTCGAACTTAAACTAGATATCGTTAATATCTCTGCTATTATAATCTTAAAACTACTCTTAAGGTACGAAAAGATTAAGATATTATATAACTACTTTATTTTATATTAACGATCGCTAATTTAACCTTTTCCTTAATTAAGCTATAATACCTTTAGACGTAATTATTACTTTTATTATCCTTAAAGTTAGTATTAAGGAACCCTTCGATAGAGACTATTTTAGATTTTATAAGCGTAATTACCCTTTATACTTAAGCTAAGCTTTATTCTTAATTATTATAAAATAGAATATCGTAAGCTTAATAGCTATTCTTACCTTTAAGAGCGATAGTAATAGATATTATATAGTTATATAGATAGAGCTAGCGTAATATAATATTACGATAAGGATATATATTAAGTATAGAAATCCGCGATTATATTTATATTTAATAAATAAAGACCTCTAACTTATTACTTATATTTACCCTTAAGTAGCTTAATAAATGACTTAAGTATAGTTAATACTATAAAACTCATTAATATAATAAGGAAATATTTAAGTATACCTATTTATAGACGCTAGATTATTCCTTATTATACCTTAATAAGTATATAATAACTTTAACTTATAATAATAGCTAATTAATAAAGATCTAATTTATAATATATATTAAAAACTGCTATATCTTATTTCTATTTAAAGCCTTTAATATACTTAACTTTAACTTATAAGCTATACCTATAAACTCGGAAGTTACGATAAGGCACTTTAAAACTAAGTCTTTAATCTTAATTATATAGTTTATAATATAGTATATTAAAGATAAGGATTTATATTATATATTAATAAATAAGATATCGTAATTATAATATAGCTTAATTACTATTGCCTCATTTTAATGATTAACGAGATTATAATTTCATTTAATCTTTAAGACTTTATCTTAGAATTACGTTTTCTCGATAAGTTTCTATAGTATATTAAAGCGATAGGCTTATTAATAAGGATTGCCCTTCTTTTATATATTTTAAGTCCCTTTAATAAAGGAGTATTTAATATATATTACTATATATATATAGACTTATATAGCTTTAATATAGAAGTTTGCCTTATTTTCGAAGGATTAGTCTATATAGCTCGAGTCTTAAAAAAGCTATAAGATATCGTTAAAAACTAACCGCTCTATAATATACTTTCGCGCTTACTTTAGGGAAAGACCTTATACTATATAAATAAGTTAGTAAAATAATATAAAGATAGCGAAAGCTCTTACTTTATAAAAAATACTATCGATATAGTCTATAACTCGCTAACGGAAATAGCTAATATAGTTATACTTTAAATTAGAAAGAAAAGTACTAAAATATAAATTCCCTTCTAGCTATAAAAGGCTATAGAAATAAAGTACCTTATACTTATTAATCTCGATAACGCTAAAATATTAACTAACTTAACTAAATATATTAGATTTTCTAACGTAGATATATTCTTAAAAAAAAAGATTAAGCTCTTATTAAAAAAAGAGTATAGAGCTAATAAGGTTATTAATAGTAAATTTCGCTTTATTATATACTTACTTTAGCTTAATAAGTAATTACTCTACCTTATGCCTTAAGTATTATCTATATACTATAAGCTATAATTTTACCGGATTAATAATATTATTTAAATTAATAGTAAATTAAATATTAAATAGCTTATAGCGAATAATTAAACTCTTAATCTTCTATTATAAGCTAAGCTATTACTCCTTTAATATCGGCTAATAAAAGCTATATAGCGATAGATTTCTTAATAGCTCCTTAATAGCGATATCTTTAACTCGTTCGCTAGATTTAAGTACTTAAATAGCCTCTTTTAAGCGTTCTCGACTTAATTATTTTATAAAGCGCTTTACTTAAGGAAATATCGCCTTCTTTATATTAAGTATACTAACTTAGCGATTATATAACCGGACTTTTATATTAAAGATAAAGAAAGAGAAGATATAGTATAAAGAAAACTAACCCTTATACCTTAATAATATACTATAAGCCTAAACTATTAATATTATATTTCTTAACGAACCTAGCGTAAATCGTAAGTATACGCTATTTTAAAACTGCCTATTTAAAAGCACTTCTCTTTCGTTAATAAGCTAAGGGCTACTAGCCTTATAAGGAAATAAATAAAGGAATGCCTTCGCGAAAAAGGATAGATTAAATCTATTTATAAATTACTTACCTTATTAGACTTAAATATAAGGATTAACGTTATCCTTAAGTTATATCGCTCTATTTTCTCCTTAACTAAGCTTTACTATATTAAAGTATATAAATTATAGCTTCTTAACTTTACTAACGTTAAGACTATTATTAATAATAAATATCTTACTTAAAACTATTTTAAAAATCCGCTTTAATTCGTAATCTATATCTAGCTTATCGCTATTATCTCGATCTTTATTAAAATCTTACTTACTTATAGCTTAAATAATATTATATAAAGACGATATTACCTTATCGATACTTATAGTACCTTTTATATCTAAACCCTACTTAACTAGCGGAATAATATATACTATTTATATTTATTTTACGGTTAATAGCTTAATATACTTAAATCGACGATAAATAATATTTAGTATAATTATACTATTAAGCATTACCTAGCTATTAAGCTTAGCTATATTAATTTAAATATTAATATAGTATAGATTATATAGAATTAGTTAATATAATGCCCTTTCGATTACTTTACGCTAGATTAATAATAGATTAAAGAGATCTTAGCGTTTAGGCTTACTATCTCTATACTATAAAATATAAATATCTTCGAGGACCCTTATAAATAGATATAGTAATATATTAACGGCGAGCTCTTAAATATTATTAAGAAATATAGTTATATAGCCCTTAATATACTTTAGATACCGAACGGACTATCTACTGCTATTTAATAAGGTAAACTTAATAATAAAGCTATAATATATATTAAGGGAGATAAGCTTTTCCTTTACTAAAGTTAAGCTATTAAGCTTAGCTAAGAAGGTATACTTATAACTTAATTATAAGTATATAAGCCTAAATAAGCTCAGCTTCCTTTTAGACTAGGAACTTTTATATTTACAGTAAGCTAAGATAGCTTAACTAGCTAGAAAGTACTTTATATACCGCCGCTAATTATTATTAACGTTAAATCTATAGAGGGAGCGATTTAATATAAGGGGGCGAAGTTAAGCCTAAGATAACTTTAATAATCTATTTAAGCTATATATATAATAATAGACTTAATAGTACTCTAAGGGTATTATATCGCTATTATAAAACGCTTAATAAAATACTTTCGCTATCGAGATTTTTATCTACCTTTTAACTAGCTAGTACTATAATTACTTATCTAAAAGACATCTCTTATTTACGAATTTACGATCTAGCTCTTAAAGTAATACTATTACTTTTAACGATATTATTATTATAGCTAGTCCTTAATGCATAAAGTTAATTATAGAGCTTATTATACCTAGATTATTTAATACTATAAGTTAAGGCCTAATAGTTAATAAGATTAAGCGTATTATATTAGCTATTTAACTAGATTAATTAAAGGCCTATAGCTATTATACTCTTATACTATTATTATTATTAGTATTAACTTATTATCTCTTAGCTTATTTAGTATTACTTATATTTTCCTCTATTATTAATTCGCTATTAAAAGTAGAAATATTAATTACTATAGGCTATAGCTCTTTTAATTACTATAAGGAAATTAGCTCCTAGCCTTAATACTAGCGACCTTAATATTATATAACGAGAGGTATTAAACGAACTATAATATAATCTTATATAACTTCTATTAAAGAAGTTTTTATCTCGTTAAACGATATTAATTCTTTATTAAATTTAATATATATTCTTAGTTTTATATATTACCTTTTATTTATTACTTTATCTATTATTATATAGTCTAACTTAAATATCTTATAAGATAGACTATAATAACTATAGTACCGAATTATAGTCTTATTACTATTAAGTTAATATTAATATTAAATATATTACCGCTAATAATAGAATATCTTTAAGTAACGATAATCCCGATCGTAAATAACTTAAATATCTACGATCTCGATCTCGCTATAATTATATGCTTAATTTCTATATCTATAATATTATATATATAAACCGAGATAAATATAATAACTAAATTAACTTTATTAAGGCTAGACTTAATAATAATATAGTTTATTATATTATAGTATAATGCCGACTAGTCTTATCTTTATTATCGTAAATAAAGTCTTTAATATAAGACTAAAATTCCTTATTAGTTTTTACTTTAGAATAAATAACAGGCTAGATATTATAACTTAATTTAATATAAGGCCGGTAAATAGCTTTTTTTAAGCTATTACTTAATCGCTAATATCTAAATATATAGTAATCTTTTATATTATAAACTTACTTAAAGAAATATCCCTATTTCTATATTATATTATTAAGGATATAGAAACTAATAATAATAACTTTCTCTTAGCTATATATTATATATCTAATTAACTATTAATATTAAGTCTATATAAAATTAATAGATTTAAAGGTTACGATTAGATTATAATTATATATTACTTAAGGTAAGCTATACTCTATAAAATCATATAGTTTAACTATAAAGCTATATAGATATACCTTTATTTTTAGTAAGCTTAAGAAACTATACTTTCCCGCTATTAATAATATTAAGTTTATTAATCGCTTATACTTAAAAGACTCTATTTATACCTTTTTACCCATTATTATTATAGCTAATACTTTACTTAATCCCTCTTAATACCTTAATAGCTAGCGTAATATTAAAGGAGAAATAGTAATATCTAGCTTTTTTTAACCTCTAAAATACTTAATTATATATTTTATAACCTATTAGCATTAAATTAAATACCTTAATGCCGAAATAATTATTAGGCTTATAGTCTAGGAGCCTATATAAATATAAAGTATAATATATTATTACTTAAGTATAAAGAGTAATAATACCTCTACTAAGATTCTATTAAGTCTTAATATCGATCTCTTTAATAAAAAAGTTATACCCTTAAAGTAATAAGAGGAGTAGTTTTATATAAATAGCTAGCTTTATCCTTTTACTATTATATAATATATAAACGATAATAATAATCCTTTAGGGAAGTCTAGTAAGTTATTAAAGATAAAGATCCTTAATATAATAATTTAAGAGTATAGATTCTAGCTATAAGTTAATTAGCCTTTCTCTCTAAGATTTACTTAATACTTATTAATAACTTTAAAGTATTAACCTATAAGTATCTGCATGTTCGTGGAAATGCCGCCACTTCGGGTAGGTGGCTCACACTACATCTTGTGGCATTTGCACACAGCTCCCCCGCACGTTTTCAGGCATCAACTCTCGGGTCAGGTCACCGCCTGCCCAATCGAACACCGCGCCACAACTGACATGCCGCCACAACATCCGACACAGTGCCAACATGCAACATGTGCAAATCGCTTCCGCCCGCGTCTCTGGTACCGTAGGGCTGACCGGGAACTCCTGGTCAAATGCGGTACGAGTGGCAAAGTGATGTTTGCGTCATGGATTGGCGTAATGAACTTGACAATCTAGCTGGAGATCGTCCGGTGCCCGATCGGCCCATGACAATGGATCCCTTACGATGCTTGGGACTTCGTGAATAAATGTGAAGAGCTTGACAACATGATCGATTGCTGACCGACACACCGCCTTCCTTGTGTGCACACCGCCTTCCTTGTGTGCACACCGCCTTCCTTGTGTGCACACCGCCTTCCTTGTGTGCACACCGCCTTCCTT